GATGGCAGGTCCGCCGCTCCGGGAGTGCAAAAGTGACAGACAGAGACCAGGGGCTGGGAAAACAGGAGGCACCGGAGGGAGAGAACGAGCCAGGCACACTAGCTAGCTGACGGCCGGGCTGGCACGCACAGCTCCGTGTCCTAGACACGCCGGTGGAGAGGCCAGAAGTCAGACGGATGCAAGGATGCACAGACACACATACCACAGAGGGCACACAGATCCACACAGATCCCGAGGCGCACACCACAGCTCCCCGGCCCAGGGACACGCGCGTGAGTGCACGCGCGCGCGGGGACACACACACACATTCTCTCTCTCTCTCTCTCTCTCTCTCTCTCTCTCTCTCTCTCTCTCTCTCTCTCTCTCTCTCTCACACACACACACACACACACACACACACACACACGTGCGTCCCGGGGCCACACGCACTCCTCGCCCAGGCACGCGCTCCGGGCCCTCGGAGACCGGCTGGGAGAAGGTGCTGCGCTCGCTCCCCGGAGTGTTTATTTACCCGTTTGTATCAATGAACGTTTGTATCCTACTCCTCCAGCCTCCAGAGGCCCGTGCCGCCGCATTTGTCCCGCCGCGGGACACTCACCGGGACCGGCCACCGGGCTCCTCCGACGCTGCGGGGGGCGGAGGGGACCTCAAAGTTAGAGGGCTTCCGAGTGTCCCCGAGGAGGGGCTGCGGGCCGGTGGCCAGGGACGCGCGGAGGTGGAAAGGGGAACGTTGGGGTCTCCTAGGGTAAGAGGCGTTTGGGATGGGGGAGGACCTTGTTCTCGGAGGGTTGGGGTTCCCCAGGATAGGAGCCGGCGGGGTTCCCCAGGATTGGAGCTCAGGACCCTGAGCACAGACAGGTTCAGGGTTTTGGGGGGCCCTTCCGTGGAGGGGTGGTCCGGCCCGAGCCCTCCGCTGCAGGGGCGCCGGCCACGCTGGACTGCCCAGGGCGGGAGGAGGGGGCCGGGGACACCGGGGGAGGGAGGGAGGGAACGAGGGAGGGAAGTAGCCTAGCAGCCAGGCAGGCACCGTGCGAGTGCGCACCGTGTGTGTGTGTGTGTGTGTGTGTGTGTGTGTGTGTGTGTGTGTGTCCTCTCGTCCGTCTGTAGGTGCCGGGATCCGCGAGACGCCCGGGAGAAGGAAGAGGAGGCGAGAGGTGAACTGAGTTTGATCCCGCGGCGGCGGCGGCTACAAGTGGGTCCCAGGCGGGCGGCGGGCGCGGGGCGGGCGGGGCGGGGCGGGGCGGGCGGCGGGCGCTCACACGCTCGGGCCGCCGGCCTCTCACCACGCCTCCGGCTTTGTGAGCGCTGCGCCGGGGAGGGGGGGCTGGCGGGGCGCCCACGGCGCAGCCTCCCGCCTCTATATAAACACACGCATCGCCTGGCTTTGGACTCAAATTCACATTGAGAGAAGCTTTTAAAACCACCAGCCCTGAAATCCTGCCTCCTGCTTTCCCCCCTCATTTATTCTTTTTTTTTTTTTGCCTTTCTTTTTTTTTTTTTTTTTTTTCCTCCTTCTTTCTCTCCCCAGCAGCAACTCCAGAGCCGAGAGAGCCTGCGTCCCGGGACGGACTGCCTTTTCTCTTAATTGATACAATAGCCCAGCTCGGGTTTTCACCTCCTCCCCCAACCCCACCCCGCCTCACCCCTCCCGCCCGCCGCCGCCGCCGCCGCCGCCCCAGCGCTCGCCCGCCCGCCCGGGGCTCTGTCGCCGGCCGCGTCCCGTCCCGGCCAAGGTCCGCCCGCCGGCTCCGCACCCGCGCTCCGGCCGCCGCGCCGCCTCGCCCTCCCGCCGGTGCCCGCTCCGGGGGTGCCGCGGCTCCTGGGGCAGCGCGGGGACGCCGGGCTCCGGCCTCTCCACTCGCCTCGGCTGGGGAGCCTCTCCCCTTGTCCCCCAAGTTTCTGGGTTCGTTGGAATTTTTGGATTCAGGATTTCCCCCCCCCCCCTTTTTTCCACCTAGGAATTTGAGAGGGGGAAACTTTTGACCCATCGATCGCATTTTCTATCTCTCTTCTCCCCCTTCTTCTTTCCAACCCCCCCCCTCCCGAGCAGGGGAAGGGGTTTACAAGAGAGGGTCCCGCTAGACAAAGTTTTTCCCAAGTTTTCTGAGTGTGATGGTTGCGGGGAGAGCTCACCCACCAGCTTGATTCAAGGCTTCATCTCCCCATCCCCTCCAGCAAGCTGCCCTTAAGTCCGCTATAAGGGAACAAACAAACAAACAAGCAAACAAAGTTACACTCCGAGTCGCCTCGTGTCTCCTCTCTCTCTCTCTCTTCTAGGCATTTTTTTTTCCTCCCCCTTCCCACTCCTCTCCCCCTCGACGCTTCCACTCCCCTCTCCCCTTCCCTCGGCCCCTTCCTCCTCCTGCTCTGTCTCGGCTGGAGGTGCCAGGACCCTCGGCGGCCGCAGTCCCCCCTCCCCCGCAGCTCCAGCCCTTCGCCGTCCGGCCGGCCCTCCCCTCCCCCGCCGCGGCCGCACAGCCAATCCCCCGAGCGGCCGCCAACATGCTCTTTGAGGGCTTGGAGCTGGTGTCCGCGCTGGCCACCCTCGCCGCGTGCTTGGTGTCGGTGACGCTGCTGCTGGCCGTGTCGCAGCAGCTGTGGCAGCTGCGCTGGGCTGCCACCCGCGACAAGAGCTGCAAGCTGCCCATCCCCAAGGGCTCCATGGGCTTCCCGCTCATCGGAGAGACCGGCCACTGGCTGCTGCAGGTAAGGCGCGCGCTCCGCGGCTCTCGGGGCGGTCCGCTAGCGGCGAGCGCCGGGGCTGACGGCGCCGCGGGCCGGCCAGGGGGCGCCGGGAGCCCGAAGGCACGGGTCCCGCCACGCCCCTTCCCTCCAGGCTCCCCGCGCCTCCCGGGCTGCCTTCGCCCGCCAGCGGCCGGCGCGGTTCCCAAGCCCAGGGGCGCAGGGGGCGCAGGTTCAGGGGGCCTGATCGGAGAGGTCTCCGGAGCTGAGAAGGGTTCCAAGACAGGCTCTTCGCAGTGGCAGGCTATTCTGCAGAGGGGCATGGGGCAGAGCTGCATGGGGCGCCCGCTTTAGCCTCCCCTTTGCCCTCCAGGCCCCAGTCACCAGGGGCTTCCTGGGCTTTGGCGGTGCCATTGGGACCTGAAAAATTGAGTCCGGGAGGAAGGGGGTGGGGGTAAAGGCAGTCAGCACTGCCTGTTAAAGACCAGCCCTCTCGTTGGCTGCTCCAGGTACCACCACCCTGGGTCAGGTCGGAGAAAGTGTGTGTTTTGTGGTGGGAGAGGACGGAAGTGACCAGAGGAAAATGAGAAGCCTGAGACCCGAGGTTTCTCTGCTTTCGGGGAAAAGGGTCTATTTACTTATTGGGTGAGGACAGTGCGGCAGGGGTGTGCACCCGGGGAGAGGTGTGTGCGAGGTCCGCAGAGTGCATGTGTGTGTGTTGCTGGATGCGCACGACCCAACACCCAACCCCGCTGGTGATAAAGGGGGCGCGCGCGCCGGGAACCGGACCCAGGTAGGTCACGGGGGGATTAACCTGGAGTTAAACTCCGTCAAGTGCTAGACAATCGCGTTGGCGATGTGATACACACCAGGTCTCTTTCTTGGGGAGGAGGGGGGCGTCCCTGGGTGTACCCCAGGAGGTGTGTTGTGTGCGCTCCGGCGCTTGGGTTTGTCAGGCTGACACTGGGGAGGGCTAGGAGGAGGATGGACGCCCTGAAACGGACATCCCCGGCGGGGAGAGGTGAGGTGGGGGAAGGTGGACACAGATACCTGTGGATTTAGAAGGGAGAAAGCTTGGCTTGGAATGAACTGACGCGTGCAATTCGCGCTCACACACACTGACATCCCGCTGGGCGCCAAGTGTCAGCGGAGCCTGGGCGCGGAGAGATGCTGTGGTCTCCCCCAAGCCCCAGATTCACCCCTTTTCTTTGGGGGGTTGTTCCTGCAGCAGGGTGGGGTTCACTTTAACCAATGAGACTCCCCCCCCCCCCATAAAGAAATCCCCGGAGCATATCCCAAGCCACCACACTTTTTAAAGGGTTAACTGCAGCGGTGGTCTAGGCTTTTGGCCGAGAATTTAGGAAATAAAATAACTCACTTGGGCATAAGCTCCTGCCTCGTTAGAGCCAATCTGCGGAATCCGCGGTCTGTCACCACCCCCACCCCCGTTTCCTGACCTTTCCCTGCCCCCCCCCATGTCCCCCTGACCTTTTCTCAGAATCCCACAAGGGCCCTGGGGACTCAGCGTCCAGCCCAGCGCAGAAGATGGGGAGGCGGAAACAGGCCTGCGCCTACCCATCCATTTGGCCTTGGGGTCCTAGATCCCGCGGAGAGAGGGAGATGGGGGTGGGTGCGTGCAGAGGAGTGCCGAAGGGGTTAACGGGAGCCTTCTGAATCCCAGCTTTATTTTTTCGGAGTCATTTATCAGATTTTACGGGGGGGACCTCCAAGGGCTCTCCGTTTCCACCGCGCGCCATCTAAACAGAGCCCAGGGCTAAAAATACAACATTTTTTGTATAAATTGGACTCGCGGCCCGAGCGGCCGCCCCTATGAAAGTCTTCTTTGTGAAGGCCGTGGAAACGGCGGACAAATAACTCTTTATTAATGCCACAAAAAACGCACTTTAATTATAGTTAAGGCAGATCAGAGGCTGGGGGGTTGGGGGGGGGAGAGGAGGTGGTGGCGGGAGAGAGGCGGCGGCGACCTCGGAAAATTCACAGCTCGACTTTTGTGTGTCGAAAGAAAAGAAAAACAGAGGGGAAGGAGGAGAGGAGAGACGAGAGTCAGACTGAGCGAGCGAGACGGTATAGCCCGACGGAGGGAGGGAACCCCGCTCCTCACCCCGGCTCGGTCGCACCTCCACCCTCTCTGAGGTCCCTCTTAAAGGGGTAGGCGCCGTCTAGGGCGGCGGCAGGGTGGGGGCCGTCCTCCCCGCCCCACTGGCACGGGAGCGGGAGCCGGAGCGGGATGGGGCGGCGTCCCGGGCCCAGCCCCCCGCCGGAGGCGCGGGAGCCCCAGGCTCGCTCCGGGTCGCGCGCCGGGCCGGAGGCGCATGTGGAAAAGCGATCAGGGCTCTGAGTTCTGCAGAGTCACTTTTCGGCGGCGCCGGGGTGTGTACACATGTAGCCGGAGAAGACTTTTTCGTGGGAGAAAGGAAAGTGAGCAGGGGGACCCACCCGGGGAACAGGGGAAGCCAAGCTGTCCCTCGGGGCGTGCCCCGCCCAGGGGGAGCCCGGAGCCGGTGGCAGCTCACTCCGGTTGGCAGGGAGGCCGGGCAGCGGGACAGGTGGCGCCCCTCCCCTGGGCACCTGGGACGGCCCCGGCAGGAGAAGGGTTAATGCGGGGTGGGGTAGAGCGTTCCTACGTCAAAGGGGAGCGGGACGCCCCCGCCCCCGCCCCTCGGAGGTCCCCGTGGTTTCCGGTGCCCTCCGGGGGCCGGCCCCCACCGAGCGGCTCCTCCGAGCGCGCCCGGGGCTCGGGCCTGGCTGCCTTCCGCTCCGCCGCCGCGGCCGCTGCGGGGGATCCGGTTACCTGCGCCGGCCGCCCGCCCGCCCCGCCCCGGGGACGCGCCTTCCTCTCGCTCCGTCCCAGCTCCAGGGCTCCCTGCTCCAGGGCGGCGACGAGAGTCCTTTCCAGTTATTTCCAGGGCACACGTTGCATTAGGAAAACCTCGGCTCTCGGGTGGTGCACAGACCCCGCCAGAGCCGCCGAGGGCCACCGGGTCCCTGCGCGGTCCACGCCCGAGACCCGAGGCGGCGATCCCGCCCCCGACCGAGCGCCCGCCGAGGCCCGGACCGCGCGCCGCTATAAATAACCTCTGGCCCGCGGCCACCCCGCGGGGTCTCGCCAGCCGGTGGCCGGGAGCCTGGAAATATTTATTTCCAGAGGCGGCGGTGGAGTTGGGGGTGGTAGGAAGAAGGGTGACGGAGGCTCTTAGCTTCGGGTGCTGCTGCCGTCTGTTCGGGACAGTTGTTACTAAAAAAAAAAAAAAAAAGGGCGTTAGTGGGGATGCCCCTGGGCCCCCCTCCCTCCTCCTTGTATTATTTATTATCCCCTGGGCCCTACTTCCCAGTCCTTGTGCTTGCTATGAAAAATAAAACCTAAGCGTGTGCTTGTGTGTTGGGGTGGGGGTGGGGGAGAAGAGGTCAGGGTACTGGTGCTTTGAGTGGCGTGTTCCGTGCCCCCACGTCCCCGCCCCCCATACCCCACCCCCTACCCCCCTGGTCCCGGGAGCTGGGCCGCTGGTAGCCTCCTCCAGGGAAGCGCGCCCTCATTGAGGTCTCCGTTGTGGCCCCCGCAGGGCTCAGGCTTCCAGTCCTCCCGGCGGGAGAAGTATGGCAACGTGTTCAAGACACACTTGTTGGGGCGGCCGCTGATCCGCGTGACGGGCGCCGAGAACGTGCGCAAGATCCTCATGGGCGAGCACCACCTGGTGAGCACCGAGTGGCCGCGCAGCACGCGCATGCTGCTGGGCCCCAACACCGTGGCCAACTCCATCGGCGACATCCACCGCAACAAGCGCAAGGTGAGAGCCCGCACGCAGCCCCGCGCGCCCTCCTCCCCCGGGCGTCCCTCCTGGGGAATGGGGTCCTCTGGGCCCCGCGTGCACACGCACACCACACCGACCTGGGGGTTTCCTGCTGCGATAAGGGGTCGAGGGCCTGCACAGGCCTCTGCGGGGCCGGCCCTCTTGCTGGCCCAATGTTGGTCCAAAGGGTGGCTTTTGAGGGATGGTTTGGACAGAGTTTGGGCATGAGGGGATGGAGGCATACCTCTAACGCCAATCCTCACCGTGCTCCCCAAAACTGGGAAAAGAAGGGGATGTGGACGGTGGCTGGGTATCCCCTTCTTGCCATGTTCCTCCCCCGTGAATTCGACGGGTCCTTCTAAAAATCAAACGTAGCCTGCTTGCCTGCCACAGGTTGCTTTCATGGCGACGCCAGCAGGCTGGGGGGAGGAGGGAAGGGGGCCTGGGGCACCTGATGCGCAGCGGTTCCAGGGCCCTGCCTGGGAGGGGCCGGGGGACAATTGGGCCACAGCGCGCGTGGGTCTGGATGGTGGGGCGGGGGGGGGGGAGGACGAGGGGATGGGAGAGCAGCGAGGGCGGGGCGAGGGATCAAAGCGCACCTACCCCCTCCCGTAAAGAGGAAGAGAAAGTGGGTGTTTATCCAGTGGATTTCCCGAGCGCCTGGAAGAGGCTCGAAGGAGGAGAGCCAGCGCGCCGGAGCGAGCCGCCCCGCCCCCTCCCGGGGCCCAGCCGCCGCCGCCGCCGCCGCCGCGGCCCGGAGCGCGGGCGGCACGTGCTGTTTGAACTGCAGTAACCCGAAAGCTGAGCCGCCGGCGGCGGGGAGCTGGCGGCAGGCTTAAAGCCTCCAGAAGGGGGTGGGGGAGACTTGCACGACCTCTCCTCCTTCCCCCTTTCCCCCCTCCCCTCCCATTGGGTCCGAGCACTCAGGTTGGAAACCCCAAGGAAACCCAGAGGCAGCCTCTGATGTCTGGGTAGCTCGGCAGAGCCCAGGAGTGCGGAGGGGGAGACTGAGGGCAGACCCCCTCTGCCTCTGCAGGAAGGAAGGCTGCGTGTGAGGTGGTCTCAGGGAACGTAGGAGTTCATCTTACAGGATTTGATGTCTTCTGAAAGGCCGGTGAAGAGTAGTTCCCCGGAGCAGACAAAAGGAGGAAAATCCGCACGGAGTGGGCTGGTCTGCGCTCACCACCAGCACCCCTCCTCCCATAAAGCGTGTATTTCAGGACAGGAAAGGGACTCGCAAAGTCTGCTCTCTTATGGCCTCACTAGAGCAGGAAGCCACTAACAGGGCCCTGGTCAGATTGGAGGAGGGGCTGGGAGGGGGCTGTAGGCTCAGGCTCAGGCATGGGGGCTTTTCAAATATCTTGGACACTTTTTTTTTTTTTCTTAGTGTTTGTGGCTCCAACCAAAAGCTCATCCCAAAGAATGTGGAGGGAGGCCGAGACTCAGAAACCCAGGTCCAAAGGATGTGATTGCTTCTCCTTTTATCTATATAGAGTCTTTGACAAGAAAGTAATTCTTTTCCCCTTCACGGGGGTGTGGCGGGGGGGGGGGGGGTCACTGAGACTCAGAGCATTTGAGAGACTTCAGACCAGGAGCCATAGCAAGGGCAGTGGAGTCCAGAACGTTCCTCCCTGAGAAGAGGTGTTTCCTTCAGGGCCCTACTCAGCCCTGCCCACTGGGGGCTGGCAGAAGCTGGAGGGTGGGGAGGGGGCAGGATCCTGGCAGGAAGAAGGCTTGGTCAAGACCTGAGTGTGAGCCCCTGGGCCTTCAGAGAGCTTCCCCGAGCCACCCTCTGCCTGCCTTGGCCTTGGGCTGCCAGATGGGGAGGGCCTGCCTGGAAAGCCCCCAGGTTTTGGGCTACATTGTTCATTGGGGAGGAGGGGAAGAGGAGCCAGATGCCATAGACGACCAATGTGAGAGGAGTACATGGGGAGGGGGAGATAGGGCTGTGGTGGGACAGGTCTGCCAGCAAAAACTGAGGACCCCTATGGGGCATACACTTGCCTTGCCCGCTAGCTCCCTGGGCATGGGGAACAGCCATGATGAAGTTCATCCTGACACAGGCTTGGGAACCAATGCAGGGCCCTCCCTTGGTGTGTGCTAGTTGTGTGCTTGCCATGTGACATGTATATACGGGGTCCTGTAGTAAGATAATCTCTCTAATCGGTGTTCCATGAACTTAAGCTTTCAGAACTAAACAGAAGACCTTGGGTTAGGTACAAATATAAAGCAGGGAACATGGCCCCTGCCCTCAAAAAACGAAGTGTAGCCGGAGGGATGCCAGGAGAATGCTCAGGGGCACATGTTGGTCCCAGAGAGAATGGCCAATCTGCTGGACCCAACACCCAGTGGACCCAACACAGCCAGGGAGGGGGCAGGCGCCACTCTCTGCCTTCTCCAGCTCACACTGCCACTGCTGTCAGGGACGTGCCTGGAGAGGGGGCTGCTGGGCCAGGCCCAGGCCTGGTTAGGATGCATTCTGCGTTCGCAGGAAGCGAGGCCCAGGTGTGCTGGGGCCCAGCTGGCGGGGTAACGAGGAGCGTCACTGTTTCCACTGGGGCTGGGGACCCGCTCCTTCCCTGGGAGGTCTGGCCAGATGTTCCTTCTCGGAAGGGACTCCTCGCAGCCATCACGGAATCCAGGTGTTTGCCCCGGTTGCCCTGGTTGGCTAGGGCCAAGAGGGGAGGGGTTGCCAGGGAGAAAGTTCAAAAAGTCTTTCCCAGCCTGAAATAGTCCTCTCTTAAAGCTAGGCCTGTATCCCTATAGCCACCACCAAACTCTGCCCCTCCTCCTCTGTTATACTTCCCCCACCTGGAGGGCCCCTGATTGATGGAGAAGGGCCACCCCCTCTTCCTTCTGTGAGCAGAGAGACTGGGGTGTTGTCCTGGAAGGGTAGACAGAGTCTGGTGGGAATGAGGGGGTGTGGGGGGATGGTCAGACATATCCTCTCTCAGAGATAGGGCTGGGCCTCTGCACCAAAGGGCCAGAAGCTTCAGGGCACCTCCGACAGTGGTCTTCCCAGGCCTTAGAGATACACTTGGCCTGGGACCCCTGGACTGGGGAGACCCAGGAGCGCTCTTCTCGCCTCTCCTTCCCAGATCCCTGGCTACAAGGACCTCTGTGACAGAGGCTGAGGTGGGCCAGGGCTCCCAGGCTTTGGAGGGAGGGATTAAGAGACCCACCCACTGACTCTCACTAACCCTTCGGGGCCCCATCCTGGGCAGGGGCGGGGCTTAGGCTCAGGGTCACTATATTCCTCTCATAATAAACACCGTGCATTTATGTGGGGATGGAGCAACCAGGAGGGGCTTCAGCAGGCAGGCAGAGCCAGGGGGACCATGGTCGCAGGGTCCTGGGGGCGGCCAGCCAGGCCTGTCTGGAGGTGGCATTCAGACCCGTGACTTCAAAGTCACGTCCACGAGGCTCAGCTCAGAGCACACGTTCCCACCTGCTTGGAATGGGAAGGAGGGAGGTGGCATAGCCAGGCACCTCTCTTACTGGAAGGGCCTCCTGGCATAGACCTTTGTGCCCCAGCTGAAGTCCATCACCCAAAAGTCACTGTGACACCAGCTGGTGGGCACCGGGGCCACTGAGAGGGCAGGTGGCAGGAAGGATGTCCCTGAAGGTCAGTGGGGGAGGAGCCCACAGCCAGCCGCCAGGGTGCCAGGGAGCGAGCGGTGCCTCCTCCTGCATGCCCTTGTGCCAAACAGTGGGAGGGTGGGTTGGTTGCGGGGGAGGGGGGGGGTTGCCACCCCCTCCCTTTGCCCTCTGTTCTGTGTCCTTGGGGAGGGGTCTGTGCCCGTGATGCTGATGTGCTTGTTCACTCTTCAGCCTTGGGAGACAAGTGTGGCCTTGGTGGGGAGGGGGTGGGTGCCTAGCTGGGGTCTGCCCTGGCCCTGAGCCCTTTCTGCCACCGAAGTATCTATTCCAGGTGCCCAGGCAGAAGGGCAGGCATTGGGAGCGTGTCTCCAGGGGCTGAGAAATACTGAGAGCAAAACAGAGGAGTAGCCAGGACGGCTGGCCTTGCCCTTAGAATTGACTTGGCCTAGAGAGAAGGGACCCCCTCGGGGCTCTGTCAGAGCCTTGGGATTGAGTAGGGGGCCTGGTGGGGCTAGGAGTGGTGCCAGGCAGGGGGTTCAGGGACCCTGGTGGGTGTGGCCCGTCATGCCTCTGGACATGACCTTGGGAGGCCCTTCCCCTTTGGGCCTCAGCTTTCACTATGCCAAGTGCTGTCCTCCTCTCCCCACTAGGCGCTCTCGTTGTGTGTGGAAGAGTCAGGGGAGGTGATTAGAGCCGGAGGCAAATGGGGGACAGGGATACCGCTTCTATGGATGCCGGGAACCCCGAGGGACACGCACAGGCTCGGAGGTCCGGGCCAGCCCCTCCCAACCAGAGGGGGTGGTGGTGGCTGAGCAGGGGCCGGCACAGGAGGCAGCCAGCGTGCAGCCCGGGCCCCGTGGAAATGCCAGGCGGCTGGGAAGATGACGTCCTCTCTGGTCCTCCCTCCTACGTGAGCATAAAGTACACACCTCGGCATCACCCCTCGGCGGCGCGGACAGCTGCCCCGGTGGCTGCGTGCCCTCTGTTATTCTTTCCACTCCGAAGGCCACGGCTCCGGTGGCTTGGCAGGGTGGCCTGCCTGGGCCTCCACCCTCCTGGGCAGCCGCTGCCATTCCTCCCAGTCTGAGTCACCGGCCCAGGGAGTGGGTTCCCTCTCTGGCTCCTCCAGCTCCAGAGGCTGCCCATCCATCTCGATCTGCCTGTCCATCCGCAGCGGCCAGCGGAGAAGGGGAGGTTAGGGGGCTGGGCCTATCTGTGTGCAGGGCCGTGGGGGCTCGTGGAGTGACCCCCCCTCCTGGGGGCACTGGGTGAGAGGCAGGAGGAAGGATTTGTAAAATCAATTACGGGGAATTTGAACTTTGACAAGCCCCTTGGTGGTCCCCGCTCCCTCCCCTTCCCACCTCATTGGGGCATCCTCTCTCATTGGGGGGAGAAGGAGAACAGGGAGGTGGACTCCTGAGCCACGGTGTTGGTGGGGGAACCAGCACGGGCGGGGGTGGGGGGGGGAGGAGAGGGGGTCCGAGCACATCCTACAGGCAGGAGCCCAGCCCGCCCAGCCTGTGGTGAGGTTCCCAGGTCTCCCTGACCCTCCACCCGGCTCCCCTGGCTCTAACCCTGGCGGAGACTCCATACCTGCTGCTCCCTCTGCGGGGCTGTGCCGGGGCCAGGCCCGCTCCCGGTGACCTTTTTGTCCGGCATTCTTGGCTCACTGCGGGGATTCCAAGGGAAGCCGGAGGGGGACAGAGCGGCCTGGCCGCAGTCACTGTTGTGGTCAGGGATGGCGGCTCTGGGGCCGGGAGCCCTTCCTCTCTTCTCCCTGAGTGGCTCTGCTGGGCACCTTCCCACATGCCCGCGTCCTGACCCCGCCCGCCCCACGGCAGCCTCCCTCTGCCCTGGCCAGCACCTCCGCCTCCTCCTGGCCCGTGTGGTGGGGGCTGCCCCTGCTCCGGGAAGTGCCCCGTTACTGACCCTGGGCACAGACCCAGGGATGAGGCCCTGGCGTTTCGCCGGAGCCTGGGAGGCCCCAGTGCCTGCGGAGCAGCCGGGCCAGAGGCAGGGGCATGGCCTTGGTGACTCGCAAGCAAAGCCCCTTGGTCCCCGAGGGCCCGAAACTGCCTTTGCGTGGCTTCTCATCTGGGTAGTTTCTCCAGCTCAGGGGGCTCTGAGGAGAGCCCTGGGACGTCCAAGTGAAAAGGAGACTCCAGAAGTTAGATTGCTTGTTGGGTCAGAATAAGAGCCTTGCTCCTGGCTGCAGTTCTCTTTTTGGAAGCCCAGCCCTGGGGGATGGAGGGGGAAGGCCTGCAAGTTCAAGGTGTTTGTGGGCTTCTTGAGGTGCGGGCTACTGGCCCTTTCAGCCCCTGGGCTCAGTCCCAGGTCTCCTTGAGTCCCCCCTGCCCTCCCCAAGGCTCGAGAAGGCGCTATTCAGGCGGCCATCGCTAGAGGGCGCAGGGAATGCAACCTTTGGGGCAGGGCAGGGCTTGCCAGTGGGTCCAGCCTGGCCAGTCCTGAGGATGCATTGGGGGCCCTGAGAGCTCCCCTTGTGGTAACCCCGAGACGAGACGGCCCCTCCTGAGCCACCCTAGCCCTTGCAGGGTGTGTGAGTGGGGGCCTGGCAGGCACCGGGGACTCATGCAGTGCCAGACTCTGGGCTTCTCTGCGGGGATAGCATCTGCGTAGGGACATAGGGGTCCTGGCGTTTATGTGCTGTGTACACTGAGAGGAAAAAAAGGGGTCGCCAGGCTCAACCTTCGCCATTTCACAGACGAGGACGATGAGCCTGGGGTGGCTTGGCCAGCTCGCACAGCAAGTTGGTGGATGATCTGGGGTTAACATCAGGCCTCTGGGCACCCAGCCTGCCTTTCCCACCACCCACTGCCTCTGAGGGCCCAGCTGGCATGGACGTTGCCGGTTCTGGTCAGCGTGGCCTCTGCCCCACCGCCCCTCTACATGCCCACCTTGGAGCCCGGGTCTCCCTTGCACGGGGGGGCCTGGCCGTCCCCTGCCTCCATGCTTTCCATGGCAGCACCCCTCCGCCTGTCCGGGCTGGCTGGCTCTGGGCCAGGCGTGGCTTCTCTGTCCTTGCCTGTCCCCACCTTCAGCCTCCCTCCGGGGCCTGGTGGCCACAGTTACCTTCCTGCTTTCCCAGCGAGCCTGTGCCCCTCTGCTCACCCTGCGGGCTCCTTGCTATTCTGTGAGGCCCCTGAGTTGGCCACGGTTGGGGTCTGGGGACAGGGCCCCCACTCCCACCCCGTACGATTTTTCTGACCAAGAGCTGAACCTAGAAACCTACTGATGCCCCGATGGAGGGCTGAGGCAGAGAGCACTGCCTGTACCCATAACCCTGTGAAGGGAGAGGTGGCAGCCAAAGCCCTCCCCCCCTCCCCGAAATTCCTGGGACCCCGAACTGGACAAGGTGTGCGTGACCCGTCCGGGCCTGGGCTGCCCTCGCCCACCTCCCACGGCCCTTGTACCTTCCCAGCAGGAGCAACCCCAAACAGTGCGGCTTCTCTGCCCCTCACCAGCGGCCTCCTTCTCCCCCCTCCCTCCCCCCCTCTGCCCACCGGGAATTTCGGAATGAAAGTGCTATTGTGAGTGCCTGGCTGGGCCACTGAAGGGCCAGCACTGTTATTTCTGCAAACCAGCCCTCCCATTAGCCATGCAGGGCCGAGGCCAGGAAAATGTTACCTTTTCCTCCTCGAGCTGACTGCAGGGGAAATTCTCACATTTACAGTTTGTGTGGCGGTTGTGTTTGGGGGGCAGGCGGGGAGGGCGGGCGCGTGTGTGTGGTTTGCGTGGGGCAGGGTGGGGGTGGGGGGGGGCCGGAGGAACATTTGCCTCCTTCCCCCTGAGCTGCCCCTCTCCCTCCTTTCCCCATGACCTTCCCCTTGGTGCTGGCGGGAGGGCACCCCCCCCCCCCTTCTGCTCCAGACTCTGGGTGTGTGTGTGGGGGGATGGATGGAGGGTGTCGGTTACCAGTGAGAGCCACAGGCCATCAGTAAATAAACTAACATCCTCCCCTCTTGTATCACCTTGGTGGCAGCAGGGGCATCCGGGTGAGGAGGGGCAGGAGGGGCGGCTGAGGCACCGGGAGGACTGAAAGCAGGGCCACAGGGTCTCCTTGGCTACTTACAATGGACCAGGAAGATGCAAGGAATTAGAAAGGGCTTCTGCTAGCCCCTTGTGGTTTTTCAAGGCGGAAAGCCTCGCCCCCATCCTCCTGCCTCCAGACCTGGCAGCACGGAAACCTTTTCGATGGCACAGACTCCCTCAGATCTCCACCTGGTACCCAGTTCCCAGGGAGGGAGAGCCAGTCGGGGTCTCAGGAAGTCCTACTCGCCGTCTAGCCTCAGACTCTCTTCTCTCCCGTCAGTGGAGCAGAAGAGCCACCTCGTCCTCGCCCATCCTGCTCACCTTGGTTCCTCTCCCCCCGGGCGCTTCTGCCCTGTGGCCTGGGCATTCGGGAATGGGCCACTGCCTCCCCCCAGCCCCGCCCAGGCCCCTCTGTGTTGCCCCCGTGGCTGGGGGCAGCTGACTGCCCAGCCCCCGGGGCTTTGCCGTTGTTTGGAGCACAAGCTTTGCTGAGCTCCAGACGGAAGATCAGAGCGCTGGTCACCCTGGGAGTGATGTGGAAGGTCCCCGAGGAACAGTTCTTATGAATGACGTTTTCATCCCTGCCTGCCCTCCCACCCGCCTGCCCTCCCACCGGCCACCAAGACACAGGCCGGGAGACAGAAGGCGGGGTGTGGCCAGAGTGCTCCCCAGTCCCAGCCACACCCCGGGGAGCCCTGACGGCAGTCCGAGCTCCTCTGACCAGGCGCCGCCTGCCTCTCCCCCTCCAGGTGTTCTCCAAGATCTTCAGCCACGAGGCGCTGGAGAGCTACCTGCCGAAGATCCAGCTGGTGATCCAGGACACGCTGCGCGCCTGGAGCAGCCACCCCGAGGCCATCAACGTGTACCAGGAGGCCCAGAAGCTCACCTTCCGCATGGCCATCCGCGTCCTGCTGGGCTTCAGCATCCCCGAGGAGGACCTCGGCCACCTCTTCGAGGTCTACCAGCAGTTCGTGGAGAACGTCTTCTCCCTGCCCGTCGACCTGCCCTTCAGCGGCTACCGGCGGGTGAGCGCCCAACCGCAGGGATGGAGGGTGTGCCAGCGGGAGGGCGGGCGAGCCTTCACCATGGTCTCTGCGGAGAGGGGACGGTCTCATAGGAACCCCCAACCCGCCCTGCCTAGGGAGGAGGTCCTCGGTGGCCCCGCCTTTCCCCTGTGGCGACAGGATGTCCCTTTCTCCCCGCAGGGCATCCAGGCACGCCAGACCCTCCAGAAGGGCCTGGAAAAGGCGATCCGGGAGAAGCTGCAGTGCACGCAGGGCAAGGACTACTCGGACGCGCTGGACATCCTCATCGAGAGCAGCAAGGAGCACGGGAAGGAGATGACCATGCAGGAGCTGAAGGTGGGGCCTCCCAGCGGGCAGCACGGTGTCCATGCTCCGCACGGGGCTGCCCCCGGCCCCCCGGGTGGGGGGTGTGGTGGTGGCGCCGGCCCCTCTACCTCCACAGGGACTAGAGTTTCTGAGCAGCTGCTGTGGTCTCTCAGCACTGGAGGAGGGAGACCATGTCTCCGCCTGCCCTGCACGGGGTCTGGTCGGAGGACTCGGAGCATCTGTGATGGGTGGGGCTGCCTTCCCTCTGCTCACGAGTCGCTGCACCCCGTCCTGCTGGCGCACGGTCCCCAGGCTCCCCATTCCGCCCAGTCCTACCCCGCATTCGGGAAGAGATGTGAGAAGCTGGCCCTCAGCGCCCTCCGCAGGGACCCAGAGCTAGGGGTGCTGGTCCACCTCTTCCCCTCCCCCGTCTCTAGGATATCAGTGTGATTTATTTTTTTTTATTTTTATTTTTTTTAAATATATTTTATTGATTTTATATAGAGAGGAAGGGAGAGAGATAGAGAGTTAGAAACATCGATGAGAGAGTGTCATCGATCAGCTGCCTCTTGCACACCCCTTACTGGGGATATGCCTGCAACCAAGGTACATGCCCTTGACCGGAATTGAACCCGGGACCCTTCAGTCCCCAAGCCGACGCTCTATCCATTGAGCCAAACCGGTCCCGGCGGATTTCAGTGTGATTTAATGGTCCAAGAGCCCTGGGGTCACCGAGGGAAACTCAGATCCAGAGGGGAAGCCACCTTCTGGGCAGCCTGGTCCTTCGATTTGGAACTAACTCGGGCCTCCTCCCATCCCTCCAGCCTTTCCCAGGTGGTGGCCTCTGACGCCCTCCAAGCCTGCTTGGCACGGAGGAAGCCCTGTGGGCTGCCAGCACCGACACTGTCCACAGAGGGCTGTGGGAGGGCTTCCTGCCCGCCTTTCCTAGGGGTGTCCCGCCTGGGAAGGACCCCATTAGTTCATCTCCTGTAGACCCCACCCCCCCAAGCTTGCCAGGAGCCGGTGGAGACTTGCTACAGACCCCCCCATCTTTGCTCCCCCTCTTCTAGCTTCAGTTTCCCTCCAGTAACGTGCCCATTTCACAAGATGCTTTGGACTCAGAAGTGGAGCCATGGCAAGCAGGGGACCCAGACCCCTTCCCTCTCCTCTCTGGGCCCGGCGAGCGTCCACATTTGTAAAATGTGGGGCTTGGACTGAGGCCACCTGCTGGGCCCTTTCCAGGGGGCACCATGGCCCAGGGGTCCTGCTCCCCAGGTTCCTCTGCCTTCTCACTGCTGTGCCTCCCAGGCTCTCGTGGGTGTGGCCTCAGACTGCCTCCCAGACCCTCATGTCCTCCCGGGGGCAGTGGAAGGAGCTGGGACTGGGAAGGTGGGGGTTTTGACTCTGAACCCCCACCTCACTCACCTGCATAGGGCCTGGCTCCTGGGAATGTTTTCTTTTTCCTCTGAGCTCACTGCACGGACCAGGCTGCGGGGGCTCCCGGCCCTGGATCCAGCAGTGAGTGAGGAGTGGGCTCACCCAGGGGACTGCCAGCCAGTGCCCCTGCCCCGCTGAGTCCAGGGACTGACCCTCTGCCCTGTGTCCATCGGGGCGCAAATGTTCCAGCACCACGAGGCTTGGAGGAAGCAGGCAGGGCCCAGCTAGGTGACAGTAAGGCTCGGGGGACCTGGCAGGGGGGGGTTACCCCAGGCTGGTATCCTAAGGGCGCCTCTCCTTTCTTTGCTGCAGGATGGGACCCTGGAGCTGATCTTCGCCGCCTACGCCACCACGGCCAGCGCCAGCACGTCGCTCATCATGCAGCTGCTGAAGCACCCAGCCGTGCTGGAGAAGCTGCGGGAGGAGCTGCGGGCACATGGCATCCTGCACAGCGGCGGCTGCCCCTGCGAGGGCACGCTGCGCCTGGACACCCTCAGCGGCCTGCACTACCTGGACTGCGTCATCAAGGAGGTCATGCGCCTCTTCACGCCCATCTCCGGCGGCTACCGCACCGTGCTGCAGACCTTCGAGCTCGACGTGAGCCGGGGCCCGGGGGTGGCCTCCAAGGGCCGGGGGGGGGGGCCCTGCCTGGGGCGGATGGGAGAGAACAGACTCCCCCTCGGGGTACCTCAGTCTGATGGGGAGATACTCCTTGTTTTCAACCTGAGAGCTTCTTTCTTTCTTTCTTTTTTAAAAAATATATTTTATTGATTTTTTTACAGAGAGGAAGGGGGAGGGATAGAGAGCTAGAAACATCGATGAGAGAGAAGCATCAACCAGCTGCCTCCTGCACACCTCCTACTGGGGATGTGCCCGCAACCAAGGTACATGCCCTTGACCGGAATCGAACCTGGGACCTTTGAGTCCGCAGGCTGACGCTCTATCCACTGAGCCAAACCGGTTTCGGCTGAGAGCTTATTTTCACGCTTTCAATGTGATGGGAGAGACCCAAAGGCTGGGTCAGATAAGTCAGCCTAGTTTCATATATTATGTTGCATGTACACGCTATAAATGTCATATATGAGATTGCATCAAGACCCTATAAATAAGAGACCACTGACATGCGGAGGGTGCTGGCCAGGCCAGGGAGACACAGTAGGGTGTCTCTGGGGACATCCGGGTGGGGGGCTGGCAGGCAGGGAGGACGGGCCCTCTCAGGTCTGTCCTCCTGCCCTCACCACCACACCCTGCCCCATCCTGCCTCCAGGGTTTCCAGATCCCCAAAGGGTGGAGCGTCATGTACAGCATCCGGGACACTCACGACACGGCGCCCGTGTTCAAAGACGTGAACGTGTTCGACCCGGACCGCTTCGGCCAGGCGCGGAGCGAGGACAAGGACGGCCGCTTCCACTACCTCCCGTTCGGCGGCGGCGTGCGGACCTGCCTGGGCAAGCACCTGGCCAAGCTGTTCCTGAAGGTGCTGGCGGTGGAGCTGGCCAGCACCAGCCGCTTCGAGCTGGCCACGCGGACCTTCCCCCGCATCACCCTGGTCCCCGTCCTGCACCCCGTGGACGGCCTCAGCGTCAAGTTCTTTGGCCTGGACTCGAACCAGAACAAGATCCTGCCCGAGACGGAGGCCATGCTCAGCGCCACGGTCTAGGGGGGGGCCTGGCCCACACCCCCGCCTCGGCCCGGCCGGGCCCTGGGGCGGGAGGCCCCGGAAGAGGGTACAAACCTGTGTGTGGGAGGGGGCTGCCCCCGGGGGTGGGGGGAAGGGGAGCAGCCCCCGTCCCTGGCCCTCCTGGTTTCTCTCCCTGGCAAGCCCTCCCCAAAGCCAAAAGGGCCCTGTCCTTTGGGGGGATGGGGCCCCCCTCCTGGCTCCTGCTTCTCCCAGTCTCTCTCCAGTTCCCACCAGCTTGGCTCCTGGGATGGGGCCTGGCCGGGGGCTCCGCATGCCCGTTACAGTGTTAAATGCCAGTCGCCTCACGCTGCAGCATTTGCTTGTCGTGTTCCCAGCGGACCCCTCCCTTCCCATTTCATTTGGACCCTATTGGTCTGAGGTCACGTGGTCAACATGGGGGGGCAGGAGGAAGAGTCGGGCCCTTCGGCACCCAGCCCCCTCCTGCCTCTACTCAGACTCAGGCACCTGCCCAGCCCGGTGTTCGCCTAGAATGCCCCCCTCCCCCCCTTGCCTGTTGGGACATTTGGAATTACCTATTGCTGCTACATTTTTCTTTCCTCTGAGATTGGGGCAAAAGAGCTCCAGGCTCCATCCTCCCAGCATCCTCTCTGGTGGCCCGGGGCGTGCACACAGCGATGACATCCCCACCTCCCTGCTCCACTGTTACCCCTGCCAAGGCCCATATTTATTCACCGATCTAACCGAATCCCGGCATTCCTGGGGACTGGGCTTGCACCTCCTCCACCCCCAGCCTCCATCCCAGCTGCCCGGGGACCTATCAGCCCTCTCTGGCTGAGCTTCAGCATCCTCCCCCCGCTCCAGGCCTTCTGTGGGTTCAACCTCAGCTGCACTTCTGGGGTGCAACCCAGCACCTCTGCCTTTGTCCCCCAGCTGAAGATGAGGAAATGGCCCACTGCCTCCTCCCCAACTCTGTCAGCAGCACGGGGATTTGGGGGTGCACCATCTCCCACACAGTCACTGTCCGCCCGGGTGGGGTGCCCCCCACGAGACCAGTGCGTATGGGGAAGGATACGGGTTCTTTCTCTGACAGGGAGCGAGGGCCTCCGTTGTCCCTCCCTTCACCTGCCCCCTTCAGCCTCGGAGAGGTGTCCTCGAAGTCCCTGCCCGCCTCTGTGCCACTGTCTGCTCAGCCCAGCTCGGGGATGAGGGACGAGATGAAGGCAGGGGGAGGTGAGCTAGAAGGCGGCCTTCCTCAGTGGTCCTGGGGAGGCTGTGGGGAGAGCTGGGGAGAGCATGTGTGGTTTGTCAGACGTGATTTGCGTGGAAATGGGCCAGTTGGGGGTGACTGGGGGGAAGAGGAGGAGCTGCTGCCACCAGCATGTTGAGTCGGCAGTTTGGATGGTGTGGGGCCATTGGTGAGTCTTTGCGAGTTTGTCTGGATTTGGATCTGTTTTCGCTGTCTGTGTTTCTCCACTGGCTTTTGATGCCATAAGGGCCACGAGTCCTCTCTACAGGAAAACCAGCTCACGGAGGGAGGCGCGGGAGGTCGATGCGTCTGCCTCTCGAAGAGGTGACCACTGACCACGCAGTGGCCTCCTCTGAGCTGCTGAGGGGGCAGATGGCACTCCCACTCTGGACCCCACTCAGAACCAGCCACCTGTCCTCAGTTGTTTCATTTGGTTTCTCTCTTTCCACTATTAAACAATAGTGTGGAACAGATTTGATTGGCAGAAAAATAGACATGCAAAAAAAATTAGTAAAATCTCTCAGTTTCTCTGCATTCTGAAAAACAGGCAAACGTGTGTCAAGACTCATCAACACCGGCGTTGGGTGAAAGCCTGGCATCTGGAACTCCCTGCGCCTTCACGCTGACCCAGCTCGCCCTGCCCAGCCGTGCTTGGGCGAATAGCTAGGGATGCACAGGGAAGCCCACTGGGCATGGCTCTGGAGGGGGTGGGAGGCTGGGGGGCCCTGGGAGGCCTTCGTGGACCTCCCATTTGGGGTGCCCGGCTGGAGAGGGGCAGAGAGAGGGCTGAGGAGGGTCCTTGCGAGGAGGAAAGATGGATCATTTGCCCTGCTGGGTCTCAGAGATAACCAGAGAGAGGAAGAAAGCTCTTGACTGGCTGAGCGAGGGGTTCCCGTGTCGAAGTCTGTCCATCTCTCCTCTGTGCGTCTGCCGGTGTCTGTGTGTCTGTGTGTAGGTTTTCTAGACGTAGCATAGCCGAGTGATGTGGTCTCACTCACCGTTCCTAACGATCGTAACTTGACGTGTAAAAGACAGAACCCCACACCACGTGTCCTGCCACGGGCTTGCAGATTGAAGCACTTTCGATGTTGGGCGCTGGCGTTTCCGCTCTGGGCACCATCCCGCCCCTGCCCAGAGCGCTATGATATTATTTTATACACAAAACTTTTTTTTTTTTCATAAATGTTATAATTTTGTGTCCGTCTTTATAAACTATTATAAGTACTATTTTTGTTATAATTCAAAATAGATATTTAGTATAAAGTTTTTTGCTGTTAAATATTTGTTATTTAGTAAAATATGAATTTTTCTCTATTGTAAACAATGGTTCAAAAATATTAATATGTTTTTATCACAGTTGTTTTAATATTGAAAAAAGCACTTGTGTGTTCTGTTTGGATATGAAACTGGTGCCGTGTGTTTTTTCTTTGCTGTCACGTGGTCTTTAATCTGTATATAATATCCCATGTTGCATATTAAAAAAGAAATGAATGTTGTGCATTTTGTGATTTTGAAAGTACTCGATGTGGCTCTTTCATAGGCTTCCATAATAAACCGTGGGGACTCACCTCGTCTGGCTTTCTGGTCTCTGCCTTCTCGGCCTCACTGAAAGGGGACCCCCGCGCCCCCCATTCCCTTCAGCAGCTCCCAATCCCACCTGCCAGGCAAAGGGTTTTTCTGAAAGCATGTGTCCTGTGATCCCAGGCGGAGAGGTGCAAGGCAGGGTCCTTCAACCAGCAGGGTCCCGTGGGGAAGGAAAGATGCAATTAGACCGCCCCTGGGCCCGGAGGCCCGTTGGGGGAGGGGCAGCTGGAGCCAGCACCTCCGCCAATAGGGCCATGACCACCTGGGTCAGGCGTCTCAATGGCAGACTCGGCAACCCAGAGTGCTCCGGGCCTGCCCTCTGCGTCATCGTGTTTAGAGGGATGTCCACAGCCACACGGCGGACTGAGCAGAATTCAGTTCCCCTGACTCCTGGCCCCTGTCACGCGAGGCACGTTTCAGAGGCTGTTTTATGGAGCAAATAGATCTCCTGGTCACGTAAGCGTGAGGAAGGGGTTAAGCAGGTAGTCAGATCCCCTCCCTGCGGGGCTTCTCAGGCCCCTGTGCCTGAGGATGGGCACACTAAAGGGCAGGGCAGAGTAGAGTGGGCACCGGTGATGGCCCCAAGCCCATGCGATGACAAACCAGGTGCTCTCTGCCGATTACCAGCTGCTCAGCAACCTGTCTCAGCGGAGGAAGGCGAGGCCAGCCCAGGCCACGACGGTCAGCCTGAGACGAGGAACATCCAAGGCGGTTCCCGGGATCGAGCGGCTACAGGTGGGGAGGCAGAGCCGAGACCCCAGAACTGCACCAGGAAGCAGGGAGCACAGGCCTCCCAGGGCCCAGGCTGGTCCAGACTCTGCCACCCCTGTGTCCTCCCCAGGCTGTGCTCAGAGAAGGCCCCCAGCTGGCCTGAGGCCTTCGTGTGGCTGAGACAGGTCTTCCCGTCCAGTCTGTCAGACCCAATCTCGGGGCAGAGCCCCAGGCACAGACACAGCCCAGTTGCAGGGCCCTCTCCCTCTGAGTCACAGAGCCTGGACACCCCAGAGAGAAACACTAGCATATTCCGAAGGATGCCATCAGGGCAGGGCACTCCGCAGGCCCTCACCCCCACCCTCTGCCCTGTGCCATCTTCTGCCTCACCTGCCCCCCCTCCCCCACACCCAGGCCCTGAACCCTAGACCTACACTACCCCATCCCTGCCTGCTCTCCCCAGGGGGAGGGGAGCAAGGCGAGTCCTTCATTTTCTTTTATTCTATTACTATTTTTTAAACTGTTTAATATATATATACATATATATATATATATATATATATATATATATATATATATAATTGATTTCAGAGAGAAAGAGAGATAGAAACATCAATGATGAGAAAGAATCATTGGTCAGCTGCCTCCTGCATCCTCCCCCCCCCCCCCCTCCACCTCAAATGGGGATCAAGCCTACAACCTGGGCATGTGCCCTGACCAGGAACTGAAACATGACCTCCTGGTTCATACATCAATGCTTACCCACTGAGCCACCCGAGCCTGGAAAGGCCTCCTTTTTCCATGAGATAGAGTCTCCGAGTGACAGAGACGCGCCCAGGGCCTCCCAGAACCGAAGGGGCGTCCCTGCACCAGAAGCAGACCGCCTGAGCCCAGCACGTGCCCACGCCGAGGGACCCCTCGGGCGGGGTTCCCAGGGTCAGTGTGAGGCGGCGGGAAACACCCGAGCTTTCTGGGGAGGGCGCCCGCGGAAGGCGGTCCTTTCTCAGCATGTGAATTCCTCTTCCTGCTGCATGTCCTGTGTGGCAGCAGAGGGAAAGGAAGCGGGTCCCCAGGCTGCCCTGGGTCTGACCGCAGGGAGGGAGGGCCAGCCAGCGGGGGTTAGGCCTGTCATCGCCCGGTCTGTCGGTGCCCCTCTCTGCAGGCCGCGGGCCGGTGACGTCCGCCCGGTGCCCGCCAGCCCCCCCCGCCGGCTGCCCGGGATCTCCTGGGCTGGAAGGAGAACACAGGCCCTTGTGGACGGCAAACACGGCCGCTGTTTGTCCAGGGATCGGGGCGCCAGTTTGGAGGAACTCAAAGACCGCACATTCTGCCACCTCCCAGCATTTTTCCAAAACAGCCTGGCCTTGGCCGGGCCTGGCTGCCAGGGGGGCCGAGGGCTGGGAGCCAGGAACAGGGCAGGGGAGAGAGGGCCGCAAGGCCGGGGGTGAGGCGCCCGGGTGAGGGCAGATGGGGCGGGCAGAGCGGCCTGCTCGGTGGTGACCTGCCTCGGAGGGGCAGGAGAGGAGGAGTGGCTGTGCGTCTGTGTCGGGGGCTAAGGAAACACGAACTGGACTTGCCTCCGAGCCTTCCGGCGGAGCCAGCCAGCTTCCACTCCGCACAGAGGCTCTGGTGCTGAGTGGCATGGGGGCCTGGGTGAGACGTGGGCCTGGGACCTGGGCCAGCTCTGCATCTCCCGCCTGACCTCCCTGTCACCAGCAGGGCCTGGGCTGAACCAAGTTTTCGCATCCACTGGCCTTGCCCACCCCAGGGACTCTGGCCTCTTCGCAGTAATAAGATGCCCTCCCTTGCACCCCTCCATCCCTGGACTCCAGGACTCTGGTCTCTTCCAACTGATCCCTCACCCCACACAACAGGCGAGTGACAGGTGAACCCACAAAGACTTCCCTGGGCGTGGGGCACCATGGTGCCCCCTGGAGGGAGCTGGGCTTGCCCTGGAGGCTGGGAGGCACATGGAGGGCTCCTTGGCTGGCAGCAGCCCCCCTGAGGGTGACATGCCGGTGGTGGGGGAGGAGCTGTGCCTGTCTGACGATGGCCCCGTCCTTCCTGGCTTGTCCGCAGTTACAGAAGCCCTTCTTGCCTCGCCCGGTGTAGACTTGATATTTCAGCATGTCCTTCCGTCTCACAGTTCCTTCCTCTGGGACTCAAACCTGGCATCCCTCTGAGTCAGCAGGATGGAGAGCGGTGCCCCTTGAAGAACTCACCGGTGCCCATCATGGCACAGGTCACATGACACCCCTGCAGGGACTCGGGCCCACTCTGAGTCTCATGCCTGCTCCTTGGGAAGGAGAAGGGCTCCCTCTGGTTAGTCGCCCTGGGGTGGGGTGAGAAGGTGGCACTTGATGGGCAGCCCAAGATAGAGGTGGAAGGAAGTGTGGGAGGGGACAGAACACAGCCCAGGAGGAAGGGAAGGAGCGAGCAAGGTGTGGGAAGACCAGGGCTGCTGAAGGGATGTGCCAGGAATGCTGAGGGAGGGTGGGTGACGAGTGACATGTTAAGAGTGGAGAAGCTGTGACGTGCAGGCCGTGGCTGCTTTCAGTGAAGTTTTCTGTCATGACGGCGACGCCAGCCTTTCCTCCATCAGGACAGCATCTACTGCCCTGGCCGGGCAGCTTCACTGGTTGAAGTGTCATCCCATATGCAAAAAGGTTCCAGGTTCAAGCCCCCATCTGGTGGTGTGGAAGGCAGCTGATCAGTGGTTCTCTCTCTTTTTTCTTCTCTTAAAATTAATTAAAACCAAAACCAAACAAACAAATAAACAAACAACCACCCCAAAACAAACAAATAAACCAACAACAAACCATAGTCTTCTATGCTCCCAAGAGCTTTGTGTGACTCTGTGTATGTGTGTCGGTGTTTTATTTTGAAATAAATATTGATTCACAAGAAGTTGCAATGATAGCACAGAAGACCCTTGAACAACACAGGTTTGGACTGCGTGGGTACACTCACACACACATTCCCACCCCCCCCCAATAAATATACACTCAGCCCTCTGTATCCCTGGGTTTCACATCCAGAGGTTTAACCAACTACAGCTAGAAAACTGTATTTTCCATCCACAGTTGGCAATCTTGAGATGAGGGGGCCGACTGCATGCATTGCTCTCTGCTGTTTTATATGGGGGACCGAGCATCTGAGGACGTGGGTATTGGAGGGGATTCTGGAACGAGCTCACAGATACGAAGAAGTCACTGTAGTTAAGTTTTGGGGGAGCCAAAAGGTATACACAGAGTTCTGGTGCCCTCACTCTGGGGTTATTCAGGGGTTAGCTGTATGAGAGGTCTCACTTCACCCAGGTTCCCCTTCACCCTGTTTTCACAATGGCTTCTTACATAATTTGAGTACAGTATCAGAACCAGGAAATTGACATGAGTGCAGTGAGTATGTGTGGTTTGATGACATTCTGTCACAGCTGAAGGTTTGTGTCATCACCACTGCAATCAAGATACATAATTATTTCATCATCACAAAGATCTCACTGGTTTTGTATAATCACCACCCTCCCTCACCCTCCCTCCCCAACCTCTGGCAACCCGTAACCTGCTCTTCATTGCTATCATTTTCTCATATTAAGGTTATATAAATGGAATCATTCAGTATGTGATCATTTGAGATTGGCTTGTTCACATTGCCTAATGCCCTGAAGAGCCACCCAAGTTACTACATGTATCAATCGTTTTCTGTTGCTGAGTAGGATTATTGGCATGCGTGCACCTCAGCTTGTTTAACCACAGAAGGACATTTGGGTTGTCTGCAGTTAGGGGGTCTTTGGTAGTTTCTCTTTATCCCTTATTTCTTTGCTGATATTTTCTTTTTCATTTGTTTCAAGAGAATTTGTATTCTTTTGTTGAAGCATTTTTATGACAAATACTTTAAAATTCTTGCCAGGTCATTTCATCTTGTTGTGGGCATCAGCTGATAGTCTTTTCTCATTCAAGCTGGGATTTTCCCAATTCTTAGTATGATGAGTGGTTTCTTTATTGCATCTTATATGTTTTGGCTATTATCTTAGGACACTCTTAAGTCATGAATACATTTTTTTATTGGAGTAGTCAGTCACTCTGTTTGGGTTTAATGCGAAGGCCTTGGCTTGATTTTAGAAACTGCAGTTCCAACGAAAATGTAATTTTCAAGGTGCTTTCTGTTTGTTTGGTTTACTTGGTTTAGTTAGTGCCTGCGGCTCCCACCGGCCCTTCTGAGAGGCAAAGGAGCCTCTCCAGATTGGCTGCCGGCTGCTTCCTGGTGGGAGGCGGGA